TTTTATTTATTTGTCAGAGATAGAGACAGAGAGCACAAGCAGCAGGGGCAGCAGAGGGAGAAGCAGACTCCCCGCTGAGCAGGGAGCCTGATGCAGGACTCGACCCCAGGCCTCTGGGATCATGATCTGAGCCGAAGGCAGGTACCCAACCAACTGAGCCACCCAGGCATCCCCCCATAATATTTTTAATGAAAATTTAAAACAGAAAGAAAAATAGTAAAATGAAATCCTATATACTGATTCTTAAATTATCAAAATTTTGCCACCCTTATTTCAGTCTACCCCTTTTGGGCTTAACTATTTTAAAGTAAGTTCCAGGGCACCTGGGTGGCTCGGTTGTTGGGTGTCTGCCTTCGGCTCAGGTCATGATCTCAAGGTCCTGGGATCGAGCCCCGTATCAGGCTCTCTGCTCCGCAGGAAGCCTGCTTCTCCCTCTCCTACTCCCCCTGCTTGTGTTCCTTCTCTCACTGTCTCTCTCTCTTTTAAGATAAAATCTTAAAAAAAAAATAAAGTTCCAGACATCCTGTTACTCTACCCCTATCCATTCAGTATGCATCTCTAAAATACATGGTAATTTTTTTATACAGCCCTAATGCTATTATCAGATCTAATATAATTAACAAAAATTCTTTGCTATTTCAATACTAAATTCCTATTCAAACTTTCCTGTTTGTCTGCACTTGGTTTGTTACAATTAAAATATAAAAACAGAATATAAATAGAGGCCATATACTACTGTTGGTATATTTCTTAAGTCTCAACTACTTTTGCAATTTCCAAGCATTGAATATGGCTAATCAAGGAGATGGAAGTCAAAAAGGGGCTCCTATAGACTAAAAGCAGAAGAAAATTTTTTGAGTGGAAATAAGGTCAGCAGCCCAACAACGCAGAAGCTTGGAAGGAAAACACACACGCTAGGGAAACAGAGATGAAGCAGCAGGTGGAAGCTGAACCCTCTTCTCAGATACAGCGGTACGATGCCTGACTTTGAGGAAAGAAGGCATAAATTTATGTAAAGCATGGCTTTACTGATTGATTTTTGATTTATACTTTAGAAGTTAACTTGATTATGGGTTAGAAAGAGTTGTATTCAAGACTTTGTAAGAATTCAATGACACATACGAACTCTACTCATGCTTTACAGATGACTAAGAGAGGCAACTGTTTGAGCACATAGTATACACAGAGTAATATCAAGTAATACACAAGTAATATCAATATCTGACTGCTGGAAGTGCTCCAGATTATTAACTCATTTAATCCTCACAACTCTATGAAGGTAGATCACTATTATTATCTGCAATCTACCCATGATGACACAAGTACACAGTAACTCACCCAGGATCAGAGTGACAAAAGAACAAGAAGGTGAAAATTCCCTATTATACTGGGATCGAATTCTATTTAACAGATTTATTCTGTAATCCAGACAACATAATAGACTATTTATGTGAATCAGTTGGCCACAGTTGCTTCATTTATAAAATGAAGGATCTCTTTGCATTCTACTATCAAAACCTTTCTGCTCAGACTCCGTTCCAGCACAATCTGTCCTCATCTGCCTCTCTTCGCTGTCTTCTTCTAGACAATTCTCTGCTAGTTGATACTACTCCTGTCCAGAGTTTACAGAGATGGAACAAAATATAGGAGACAGACACATGAAGCAGCTTCTTCTGTTCTGAAAGCTCTAGGTAAAGTTGAACGATTTTGATTTATAACTCTATCTAATTTATTGGGTGACCAGGAAACAGTGTTCCACATTGAGTCCAGTTTCCAAGAAACATAGCTTCTCAACTGTATGACTGTATTTGACAGAAATCTTTAAGAAAAAAAAAATCATAGTTTTCCACATTCTTAAAAGGACAGCACTAAGTTACATTTAACCTTTTCTTGACTCAGGGCCGTCATTAAAAACAACCGTTATTTAAGGTTTCCTCTATATGAAGCTGTCAGACTGAGTTCTCTTCCTATACTTTCCATCTATAGAGCTACTTTGTCCAATACAGTAGCCACTAGCCACACGTGGCTATCAGACACCTGAAACACAGCCAGACCAAATTGAGATGTGCTAGAAGTGCAAAATATACCTGAGATTTCAAAAACTTAGTAAGGAAAAAAAAAAAGGGTAAAATCTCATTTTTTATATTAATTACATGTTGAATATAATATTTTGTGTATAGGTTAAATAAAATATATGTTTTATTAATTTCGATTTTTTTTTTCCTTTTTAAAATGTGGCTACTACTAGGTTTAAAATTAAACATGTGGCTTTCGCTATCTTTCTATTGGACAGTACTGCTTAGAGCACCAGGTTACCTGTCTAGTATGCTGCTTCCAGAATGATGTCAGGTGGAGAGTCTGATAATAATGGAATAAGAATGTTACATAAGAAGGAGCTCCTGTCTGGGTATTACTGTGCCTTCAACTTCACAAAAATGCAGTTTTATTTTAAGTCTATAACTTCAATGAGTTCATCAGTGAACAAAAGCCCAAGGCAGCACAAGAGATTCTTAAATCATTTTAATGGTTGGTTTCAATTTAAATCTTTAAATGTTTAAATCCTATGACCCAGTGACTTTAGATTTAGACCTATATAAAGTCAAAGTTCTAATGCTGAGGCAATACATACTGCCTAAGACAAGTTACCCATCTTTTAAGTAGGGTTCACACCCAAACTCATGAACCCAAGATCAAGAATTGCATGTTCTACCACCTGAGCCAGCCAGGTGCCGCACCCATCTTTTTTCTCTCAATTTGTACATCTTACAAATGATATCAACTACACTGACTTCCAAGGAAGGTTACATTTTTAACTTAAAATACTTGTACCTAGTTTTTCAATCAGATGACAATAATCAATACGTTCTTGAGGATTCAGAGATGACAACTGAAATATATACTGTTTTTTTAAGTCTTCATGTGTTTCCTCTATTGTTATAATCTGAAATGGAAGAGTTTTATTTTAGAAAAAATTAACAGTAAAAAGGCTATCAATCAGGTAAATGGTTTTAAGTGACATTTTTAGTCTTTTGACTTATCAAATACAGAAATAATAGCATGCAAAGAAATGCAGTTTCAACATCTGTGAACTCTTGGTAGTGGTATCAGCATATTCTTAATGCAGCGTAACAGTAATATCAAAAAGGTGTATCATCACACTAAGGATAAACTAACCTTTTCTCTAGGGTGTGGAGCCACTGGTGGGTTGGCTAGGGGGAAGGCAATACTGGGGGCTTGAGGTGTAGGGATCAGGTGGCTGTCTTTTACCGGTGTTTCCAGTTCTTCAGAGATCGGGTGTTTTGGGGCTTCAGTCACACACATGTTTTCGGGATCACAGACAGCTGAGGGCAATAAAATGCTACAGTGTTATGTTATCCAAATATGACTAAGAAAAAATTCAGGCAAATATTCTCATCTGTCTTAACCAAGATGAAATTAAACACAAATTCTGCAATGTAAAAAGTACATGCAAAAGAGACAGCCTATTTCTAGAGCTTATAAATAAATGCAATTAATTAGCTTTTTAAAAAGGCAAATGGTGTTATCTGTGGGCTTCTCCCAACCTTTTCTTTATATACCAAGCTTTCATCAGTAAAATGTAACCTAAATTTGTAAAATGAAAGCAATGTTACACTTGGAGAAAATCTACCTAGTGCAGAAACATAATCATGTGATATGAGAAAATGGGGGAAAAAGATGACCAAAGATGAAAGACAGGAATCATTCTGTCTTCAAGGTAAAGCCCAAGGGGAAAAAACCAGAAGAATTCAGAAAGGAACACATACAAATCCAAAGAACAAATGTAGGTACCTACTGGGTGGAATTTAGAAGACTTAGATGAAAACTAGATGACTAGGAAGAAAACAAACATTAATGATACAAATGTACAAAGGAGGAGAATGACAGGAAGAATAATAGTGAAAACTAAGTCTGGAAAAAACTGCCCAAGCCTCCATTTCCAAATTTAAGAATCAAAATATATTTTTCAATTTTACTGATAAGTTACCTCAATTTTAATTTTTTCTCTTTCATTTAGACCAAAATCAGAAATATCTAGTAAGTTTTTTGTTTGCATGTGTAATTCAGAGAACCGCAATGTGCTTATCTATTTTTAAGAAGTCAACATGTACTTAATGCAAACAAATGAATAGATTTCTTTTCATTACCCTGTTTAGCAATTTCTGAATCATGTAAAGGCTCCTGGGAAGGAGAATCCTCCAATTTTTTAATGTCAACCTGAAGCTCAGAATACTGTGTGGGACAACTAGGCCACTGCAGATTGCTGGCAAGCCTTGCTCTCTCCTCCCTGGCTGTCGGGTCATCCCAAATGATCTGTTCATTCTGGGAGGGCTCTGTGTTGACATCAGGTACTATTTGACGCGACTGCCTAAGGAATAAAAGTGACAATTTTAATAAACAGATAACTATAACAAAACCTACACTCATAAATTCCGTAAGTTAGATTGCAATTTTGAGGCTCACCTTTATATGCCCACCATCTAGCAAAGAGAAAGCTACCTCAAAATATTGAGTAAATGCACTTTGGGACATTTTTTTCTTTTTAAAGTATTTCTTCCAGAAACTTACAAAATATTTTAGTTAGAAAAGAAAACATCTATTTTGATTAAATGTCCATTTATTTAAAACTTCAAAAGGGAAAGTTTACTGTCAAGAAATTATTTTAAAATTCTAAAATGATTGCTATATTTAAAAATGGAATTTCTCTTAATTATACAGGCTTAGGGAAGCATGGTAAAGTTTAGAAAACTTTGCTTACGAGTACTTGTATTTTTATCACTTGAAATAATAAGAACTATAATTAGTACTATAAAAGGGTACTATAAAAGGTGCCTTAAAAGAAGGTCCCTTTGGCTCTTGGTAACCAAACCTCCCAGAGTCTAAGATAGACCAGCCATATACTGAACTAGAGTGAAGTGTGTTTTACGTCATAATTTTAACAATTCCACTAGAGTAAATATAATTCCAACTATTTTCCTTCTATGTATATATATATATATATATATATATATATATAAGTGGAATCTTAACAAATATATTTTACCAAAGCTCATGGTACCCCCAGAGTTCATTTGCCTCAAATACAAGGAAGGCAGCCTTTTATTCTGAGTTTATTTATCTACTCTGACTTGGCACAAGATTTAGGCTCTCTGTAATGACAACACATGATCTGAAGTATATTAAACAAAAAGCCACTTTCATTCAGCATGCAGATATAGAATTGGCCTCATGAAATATATAGGTAGCTTAAGACAGATGCATAGTTCTATCAATCAATTCAAGATACAAGTCCCCTAACACTCGTCATACAATTGGAGATTCTTCTATCAGGAAAAAGATGAAGTTATACTACTGAACTTCAATCATATCACACTGAGATCTGTAATCACCTTTCCTAGAAGATAAATTTGTAAAGAGAATACAAAATACATGTAGTTTTAATAAGAAATAACTAATTTAGAACTAATATTTACACTAACATGACAAAACAGAGAGAATTACCCATTGAATCCATTTCAAATGAGGCAAACTGGATCTTAAAATCATTTTCTTCTCAGGGGAGGTTACAAAAAATATTAATCACACCACAATGTCAAAGCAGTTGCTTGGTATGGAATAAAGCTTTGTCTGCTTCCTACCCCAAAGTAAGAATTCTAGAACTGCTTGGAACAAGGGACGGAAGGAGAAAAAGCCAGGGAGGAAGGAAAAGCTAGCCAGTAAAAGGCCACATAACCAGTATATAATATATATAGTTTGGGCTAAATAAAGCCCAGTAGTATAACCCTTTTCCTGGTCCTGATATTCTAATCTTTTTCTTTACTGATTGCCACACCCCCACCCCAGAAAAGGTGCAAAATTAGGCTTAACTTGTGGAACTGAGCCAGCAGGAAGCTAAAGAATGAGCTACCCCTCTCTCAAGTCACCGAGTCACTCCTTTCTGCCATCAGTGACGGGTACATACCTCAGTGCCTCCAGGACTCTACTTCGCCCACTGCGGGCAGAGCGAGTGCTATCAGGGGTTGAAGAAGCACTGTTACAACCACTTCTTGAAAGGGAAGCCCTCTGTCCTTGGGGTTTCACTATTGATGTTGCAGACATTATTTCCTGCAGCTGCTTTTGAAAGTTTTCTCTCATCTCCAAGGTCTGTGTCAGAGCTTGAAAACACACAAAAATACACCAATTAAGTTTCTCTTTTTTTAAGTTTCTCTTTTTTATCGCATCTCATTCACATTAACTGTTTTGTCTAGATCTGGCTGAACACAAATTTATTAACTTGACATTTACTGAATACTTACAACAGGCTATAGTAATGTACTAAGACTAGGAATACTCAGAACATAAAGGCAGTCCTTACCAGGACGACTGTGTATGAAAAAAATCAAGAAGCTCTACTAAGACACACTGCTAAGACCTGGTGATTATCCCTTTTGTAGAGCCCCCTGCCTGCTTCTGACCCTCTCCTGTGTTATGTACCACACTCTGAGGTACATTACAGAAATTAACATATGTGATTTTCCCCTATGGTCCTTGAAAACAGACCACAATATATTTATTTTTGGTTTCCTTGTAGATTAAACGCAATGGTACTAAATAAACATTTTTGGAATGAACTGAGTGGGACTAACTAAATAGGTAAGTCATAAGGAAAGCTCCAGTAAGTAGGGTAAAATAAGTAAGGAAAATAGAAAATATTAATTCATTAAAAATAGGACATATATAGATACAAATTTATTCACTGCAGCACTCTTTGTAATAGCAAGAAATCAGAAATAACCTGGATGCCCATAAAAGGGACTGACTAAATGGCCATTCATACAATTGTGAAAAGAAAATTCAAAATGAAGCACCGCTAAGAGAGTCACTCAAAACAGTCAAAGGACGCTGAGAAAGTAGGACCTACGCACAGTCTCCTGTTTCAATTCCCAGAACACCATGAACTGTTAACTGCTGTCAACTGTGACTTGTCAATTGCCAACTCCAGCACCTCCTAGAACATATCCTTCTATTTTGGACTGAAAAAGAGATATGACCTGTTAGCCAAATAATAATCTTGTATCAGTTTAAACTCTGACAGCATCAGGGGCACCTGGGTAGCTCGGCTGGTTAAGCGTCTGCCTTCAGCGCAGGTCATGATCCCAGGGTCCTGGGATGGAGCCCCACATCTGGCTCCCTACTCAGTGGGGAGCCTGCTTCTCCCTCGCCCTCTGCCCTTCCTCTGGCTTGTGCTCTCTCTCAAATAAATAAAATGTTTAAAAAAAAATAAACTCTGACAACACCAATCATATTTCTTTCAAAACAAGTTATATAACCTTGTGGGGTTTTTGCCTATATAAGCCTGTACTCCCTGCTTGCAATAAGGAGTTTCAGTGGACTATATCACCCGCAATCCTGAAAACCCCAAATAATAGCTTTTGGTTGCTTTACAGCCTCTTCTTCTTGGTCAACACAATGAATACTATACAGTCGGAAAAGAAAAAGAAAAAGACCAAAGAAGCTCATGTACCAATATGAAACACTGCACAAGTTGAACTATTAAGCAAAAAGATAAAGATCAAATTATAAAACAGCATATATAGTATGTCCACCCTTTTTACATTTTTTTAAAAGTACAGGAGAATATATGTATTTATGATTGATTGTGTATGCATAAAGCTCTAGGACACCTAAGAAACTAAAAACATTAGAAGAGTGGGAGAAACTCTTCATGCATCCTTCCATACCTTTAAACCATGTGCATATGTCAAAATATATTATACATATACTAAAGCTTTTTGAAAGTTACTGGAATGAACTGAACCAAAGAACAAATTTTTACAAAACCATCAATTCCACCTACCTTTCACAAAATAGGGCTGTATCACACTACCTCTGTAAAATACCTAGTTCCACAGATTTCACAAGTTTCACACTTATAAATCACTAAAGCTCTGCATATTATTACTTAATGACTGGCATGGAACTTCAATTCAATCCTCAAATATATGCTTTATAGCGACACAGAAAACAACTTTGTCTTTCCGAGCAAAGGAAGCATTCTGTATGAAAGATATATGTTTGTAAACAAAGTTTTTTTGTTATTTAAAATATTTTACCTCCTTTAGAGTCATTCCTTTCATCTCCATTTGATTTTGCTGATTCTTTGTTACTGGTGGTTATACTGTCTATATCGTTTTCTTCTATAGGCAAATGATTTGGCTATTCAAGGAAAAAAGTTACAATTTCTTAAACCAAGTCACTGCATAAAGTTTCACAGCACTGTATGATTATACATTCAGCTTAAGGAGGAGGTAAATATGTTATCCATATTATCTACCTCATCATCCTTTGTTGTTGAATCCGCTGAGAGTAGTCGACTATTAGAGAGTCTGCCATCTTGCACTGTACTGATATCCAAGCTCATTTTGGGATTGTAAGTATGTGGATAAAGAGATTCAGGAAGATGTTTATACTCTTGCGCACACTGCAATATAATGGCATGCTTTAAAACAGGACTGAAAAACATCTTAGTGAATAAATTACGTTAAGTAGAATAAGGACAACCAATAGGTTATGTCCTAAGACAGCAGAAGTTTACAGAATTAAAATTTTGAAAAGTAGGTGACACTGAAACATACCATCATACAAATGACAAAATTGTTCTCACTAATTTTAATGTCATGTACACTGAAGAATAAGATCTAATTCATTCCTATGCTTTTGCCAAGGTATCATTCATACTCCTGGGAATACCCAGAAAGAAAACAGTTCTGAACTGCATTGGCATGCTAAATTAATTCTCCTTAAATTACTATAATATTATCTTTCACATCATCTTTAATTAGGGAAAAGAATCAGAGAAATTGGAAAGAGTACCCATTAAAGACTTAAGTATTTAGGGACTGATCTTAAGTTTTTAATGCTAAAGAAATGAAATGTGCACTGTTAACTAAGGTTATCAAACTTGTTTACGTACATGGAAACTGGTTTGTGTCCTGAAACAATGTTTGTATACATTCTCATTTAACAGAGAGGGAAGGAAAAAAAGTATTGCTTACTTCTAAAAGCCAGTGTTCTGAAACAATGTGTACTCCTCTTTCTTTTACAGATTTATACTCTCGGTTAGTGTCATTTGGTCGGCCTTGATAAATGAAATGAGTCACCGTTTCATCAAAACTCCATCTGAAACAACCAAATTTTAAAAAACAAATAACTAAGAGAAATATCTGAGTTTAAGATGATCATTACTCTCTACGAACAGAATATATTCACCTTCACCCAACTTTCACTATCTAGAGTAATCATGGACATTAAATGACAGGCTCCATTTTTTTTTTTTTTTTGGTCAAATTTTACATATATCTCTCTAGGTATGTAAGTTCAGAGAGAGATCTGGAGGGTAATCTTTAAAAATATTACTTGCTTCTTTATACTTTTTTGAATTGTTTAAATTTTCTTTTTTTACAATGAGTATCACTTTATAGTAACAATAAAGGTATTTTAAAAATCAATCAAATAGGCAAAGCACCATGAGAGACGATGGACTCTGAAAAACAAACTGAGGGTTCTAGAGGGGAGGGGGGGGTTAGCCTGGTGATGGGTATTGAGGAGGGCACATTCTGCATGGAGCACTGGGTGTTATGCACAAACAATGAATCATGGAACACTATATCTAAAACTAATGATGTAATGTATGGGGATTAACATAAGAATAAAAAAAATCAATCAAATAGGCAAAGCATCCAATCTGTCCTCCAGTTATTGGCAGTTACTAGTCATTGTACATTTGCTCTGTGTGCCATAATAAACTATGTACTTTACACATCTCACCTATTCCTCTCAACAATCCTAACACACTGATATTATTATATCTACTTTACAGATAAGGAAACTGAAGGTTAAGTAACATGTTTAAGGATATTCAGTAAGTGGTAGAGCCAGTTTTGACTTCAAAACCCATACTCTTAATGAGTACATTAGCCTACAATCTCTTGATTCTTCCCATGGAATAGTTTCTTGACCTAGGAAAATAATTTAAAAATTGTAAAATATATACTATCCTTCTTAAAATCAAGTAAAAACCAAAGAGAAAGTAAAAATTTTATTTCTGAATATAATCACCAAAATAAATAGGTTTCTCATTATGGACGCTTAACATACTTTCCATTTCCTAAATAAGAAATAACTCTACTTTCTAAATATCCAAGTTAAACAAATTAAGAAGGCCTATCTCCCTCTAAGTTATATTATAAACATCTCTATTTTCTACTCTATTGTCTGTGTTTCCTTCAAAATAATAGTAAAGAACACCTTGCCTAATTTGTTAGTCTAATAGTTGTTTCTACTTCTGCTGTTAGGGAAAACAATAGAAACTTAAATAAATTATAATTAAAAAAATAAGAGGAACATTTCTGCCCGATTCATCTTGCTCATGCCTCACTGCAATAATATGGAAAATGTGAGTTTCAGTCCTCCGAGACCCTTTAACGACAGACTGTCAATGATCCTCAAAGGTTTAGATCAGGAATTAGCAAATTTTTTCTTACAAGGCTAGATAATAAATTTTTTAGGCTTTGCAGGGCAAAAAGTTGTAAATGTAAAAAGTTAAAACTACTCAACTCTTGCCTTGCATGAAAGCAGCCATAGATAATATGTAAACTAACAGGCATGGCTGTGTTCCAATAAAACCTCACTTACAAAAACAGATGGCTGATCCTCTGGCCTAGATCAGTGCTTTCAGCAAAATTGTTACTTTACAAGCTATTTTGTAAATTTGTGGGAGTGATTTTGGTTGTTATAATAATGTGTTTATATGATGAGGGGTGGTACTAGCATTTAGTAAGGTGAAGGGATGCTAGAAATTCTGAGGAAGAGTTATACATACAATTATCCCATATCTTGCATGATTTTCTAATGTCCTGACACAAATTCAGAGGTTAAAAAAAAGTTTGTTTATAATTAGATGAGTCTGAGGCCTGTTTTACTTATAAACACAAATGAGTTTTTTTTTTCCAGTTTAAATATACACTAATGTATCAAACATCCAACTACTAAGCAACTGATGGAAGACTATACTTTGCTTAATTTGTAACTTTGCCAGATTGTGAACAACTCTTGGTAAAGTCCTGTTACTGACAGAAACGCTGCTCCTGGTATCTGAGTCCCTATATCTGTTTCAGCCTTGTGGCTGCAGCATTTTAAGTGATTTTACATATGTATGTAAACATATGAATACTCTGTTTTCTTCCAGTGTCATCAGGCACAGGCATTTACATACTAAAATTCTATGATTATGTGCCTTCTGATGACTTTCATTTTTTAAAATGATAAAAGTAGTTAAGTTATGGGGCGCCTAGGTGGCTCAGTTGGTTAAGTGTCTGACTCCTGATCTCAGCTCAGGTCTTAATCTCAGAGTAATGAGTTCAAGCCATGTACTGGGCTCCACATTGGGCGTGGCACCTAATTAAAAAAAAAAAGGTAGTTGTTATATTTGTGAAATCCTTTTAGAAGAGGTAATGCTATGACATGCTAAAGAGATCTGGCCTAGATGTTTAACCGTAGGAAGTGGGAGGCAGTATCAGATATCTCTTCAGGATGTTCAGGTTCTAGCTTATGGATGGGAATAAGTGGGACAGTTTCATTTGAGAACAGATTACCCTATGAACATATAAATATTGTAACCTCTACATATTAGAGACTTCACCAAGTCTGAGAAATCCCTTTCAGAAATATTTTGCTTTAAAAAAGATTTTATTTATTTATTTGAGAGAGAGAGCACATGAGAGGGGGGAGGGTCGGGAGGGTAAGAGGGGGAAGCAGACTCCCTGCCGAGCAGGGAGCCCGATGCAGGACTCGATCCAGGGACTCCAGGATCATGACTTGAGCCGAAGGCAGTAGCTTAACCAACTGAGCCACCCAGGCGCCCCAGAAATAGACTTTTTTTAAAGATTTATTTATTTAGAGAGTGAGTAAGTGTGTGCACAAGTTGGGGGTGGGGATGGAGGGACAGAGGGAGAGGGAGATAAAGTCTTAAGCAGACTCCTTGCTGAGTGCAGAGCCCGACGCAGGGCTCAATCTCATGACCCTGATATCACAATCTGAGCCAAAACCAAGAGATGGACACTTAACTGACTACACCACCCAGGCGCCCCAAGGAATAGATTTAAGCAAACTTTTAATCAGTTAAATCTTACTTAGGAATTTCAGCAACAGAATCTATTTTTTACACTGAGAGGACTGGCATTTTAAGTCTTATTAAAATTCAAGTTCTATAGGTTCTTTTTATGTCTTACATCAAGTCCACATGCAAAGAGAATATACAATAAAGCACTCAACTTTGACAAATATATACACCCTCACAGGACTCTTGTGAGAATGAAATGAGATAAAGCTTGGCTCTTACTAAGAGCTCAGCAACTGGTAAAAGGTAATATAAATATAATAATATGTAATCATATAGTAGATATATTAATATACAAAACAGGTAATACAAATATTAGTTCTAACAAGTAAGAAAGCTTTTCTTTTCTACAACAGATACATTAAACACATTAAGATGCTTATAACTATCTCAGATACATTTTATTTTTTTTCTCTTTTTTTTATTATGTTTTGTTAATCACCATACATTACATCATTAGTTTTTGATGTAGTGTTCCATGATTCATTGTTTGCATATAACACCCACTGCTCCATGCAGAACGTGCCCTCTTTAATACCCATCACCAGGCTAACCCATCCTCCTACCCCCCTCCCCTCTAGAACCCTCAGTTTGTTTTTCAGAGTCCATAGTCTCTCATGGTTCGGCTCCCCCTCCAATTCCCGCCCCCCGCTATCTTCTTCTTTTTTTTTTTAAACATATAATGTATTATCTACTTCAGAGGTACAGATCTGTGATTCAACAGTCTTGCACACTTCACAGTGCTCACCATAGCACATACCCTCCCCAATGTCTATCACCCAGCCACCCCATCCCTCCCATCCCCCACCACTCCAGCAACCCTGTTTGTTTCCTGAGATTAAGAATTCCTTATATCAGTGAGGTCACAGGATACATGTCTTTCTCTGATTGACTTATTTCGCTCAGCATAATACCCTCCAGTTCCATTCACGTCGTTGCAAATGGCAAGATTTCATTCTTTTTGATGGATGCATTCAGATACATTTTATTTTTATTCTCCTGATCTAATTTATCAGATAGAAAGCTAACCAAAGTAACACTTACCAAAGGTGAAGATAAAGCCAAACGTATTTCTCAAACTGTCTGTTACTTATAGAACCAATCATTATGCTATCTACAAATGGTTGAATACAAGTGATTAAGAAACCTAGCACCGCCGACAGTGGAGTACAATGGACTCAAGATTGGCTGGCATGGATAAGGCTCTCTCAATCCCTGGCACACATGCCATCTATGCTAGAGGCTGTCTCTAGTGTGGCTGTCAGGTGGAGGGCAGATCTGATAATCTATGCCTCTAAAGTAGGGAAAATGAATAGAAATTAAATCATCCTACAAAAAAGACCATTTGATTCCTGGAGGGCTGCAGCACTGCTCACAGAAGGGCTCTACTCTGAAACTCACTAAGGTACAAATCACACCTCATATCTCATGAGTGAATGTGCTATGAATCTTTTATTGAATGTATTAGGCATTCTTCTTGTACTCATAATTCATGGAACCCAAGTTTCTAAGTTTCTAGAATAGTGAGTGGCACAAAATAGGTTCTCAAATATTGGTTGCACATACCCTAAAAAATACACATATCAATGTGAACTGATAATGGGAGTAGGTATTTTTCAAGGATGTAGTAAATGAAAAATCAACTGGAGATACTGCAGACAATATGACATGCTAAAAGGCAAAATAAATGTTCCTTTGTGGATGCTCACAATAGCTTTAGGTTTTCCTATATGTGTAGATAATATCAGTACCAAAACAGAAAGATGTGTCAACTACCTGTAATCTGCTCCTAGAGAGGCTGCAATCCCATTCAGTTCACCCTGCTTCTTACTGAGTTTCTTACTCACACATACCACTACCTTGTGAAGTGGCTTGGGGGCTTCTTCCTGTCCATAGGAAAGAAAAGAAACAGATCAACTATTATTGTTTGAAATATTTTATCTACAACTTGCTTTTAATAAGAGATCTAATTCTACCTTCTCCGATTGGGCACCCTTCAGCTGAGGGCTGGCAGACAGAGCAACAGCATTTCGAGAGCTATTTGCCAAAGCAAGTTTCAAGTTTCTGACAATGACTTCTGAAAGTGGCGTACTCAGTTTCCTTTTCTGCTGGCTAGGACCTCCTGGAGTTTCCAAGGCTGCAAGCGCATCCTATATGTATGTCAGGGGAGAGAGAAAGGGGGAGAAAGAAAAGTAGGAGGAAGAGGATTGAAAAGGACAGAAGGGAAGAAGAGGGGACAGAAGGGAAAAGGAAGGTAAACAGTACAGGGAAAGAGAAAAAGGAGAGGTAAGAGAGAAGAGAGATAATCCTCAAAATTAATTGGATTACAGCTTTAGCCTCCTCCAGTTTTCCTCCAAACAACAAAAAGAATGAAATATTATCTGCATCTGAACATAATAAAGAAAAAAAAACTTCATACTGTCCAGCAAATGGGTTTGAAGAGACTAACATGCTTACATTTTCAGCTGTGCTCACCATATTTGGCTGAACCTTAGAGTGGGAAGTGCAGTTAAAATTAAGGACACCAAAAAGCAAAATAAACAAACAATAAACACGGAAGGAAACAAGCAAGGATGGATATAAGCAAGATCTGAACTGTAAGGTTAGTAAGTCGACTGAACTGAGAATTGTGAAAAATCCTCAAATGGACAAAATACATTCCTGTTCCCAAGCCATCCACAGTTCCTTCATGAGAAGGGATCACTGTTATTCAGGACACTGCTGCTCATTTTCTTTTCCATCTGTATAGTATTCCATGCACACAGCTGACTGTATTTACCACTGCTCAACTGATGAATATTTAGATTAACAATCTTTTGCAAGTATAATGATGCAACCAACAACCTTGTACACACACCATTTTGCACACCTAAGAGTAAAGGGAAACATTTAAGCAAAACTTATGTAACAATGTTGACATTCTCACGAGCAAAGCATTAGAGTGTTTCCCAACATGTTTGATAGCACAGTGGGTAATGAGATTTTTCTTTTTTGCCCGTCTGATAGGTTAAAAAAATTTAACTGTATGCTTTAATTTCCCACCCTTTTATACTAAACGAGATTAAACATCTTTATGCATGTATAATACTTCTATTTTTTTTGTGACAGCTATCTCTTCCTAACTTTTGTCCATTTTTTCCCCAGTTTTTTTTTTTTAAGATTTTATTTATTTATTTATTTAGAGAGTGAGAGTGCAGGGGGAGGGGCAGAGGGAGAATCTCAAGCAGACTACGAGCTGAGCACAAGCCAGACGCAGGGCTCGATCCCACAACCCTGAGATCATGACCTGAGCTGAAATCCAGAGTCAGATGCTTAACGGACTGAGCCACCCAGCCATCCTGCTTTGTCTTTTTTTTTATTCACTTGCCTGAATATATTTGTATGAGTTTGTATGTATACATATCCATTGAGATATACATGCATTTGTTTCCAATTTGTTGTCAAATTTTTGCCATGGAGAATTTTTAAATACTTTTATTGCACATTTATAAAATCTAGGGCTGAATGTGGAGAATTTTTTAATGCTGTCAGATTCATATGACCCTTTTATTTCTTTTGAGGTATATGTTATAGTTAGGAAGGTCTTCCTTGGGTGCCTGGGTGGCTCAGTTGGTTAAGCGTCTGACCTCAGCTCAGATCATGATCCCAGGGTCCTGGGATCGAGCCCCACATCTGGCTCCTGGCTCAGCAGGGAGCCTGCTTCTCCCCCTGCTTGTGCTCTCTCTGTCAAATAAATAAATAAAATCTTAAAAAAAAAAGAAAGGCCTTCCTAATGCTGGGATTATTGAAAAACAAACTTACTCTTTCATGGCCTGTTCTATAATTTTTATGCCTTCATTTCTTGTATTTAAATATCTAATCCTCTGAAATTTATTCTGATGTAAGGGGTGAGTTTTCTTCCCGTTTTCTCAGATGGTTACCCAGTTGCCTGATTTGAATGCCACCTTTATCATATAATACATTCTCCTATCTATGAGGTGTAATCCTGTGTATTAATAGGAGTACTCATGTGATGACACACTGCTTCAATTACTGCAACTTCATACAACGCTCGAATAACTAGTAGGGAGGGCTACTGCCTACCCTCAATTATCCTTTTCAGATTTTTTTTTTTAAGATTTTATTTATTTGAGAGAGAGGGAGGGAGAGAGAGAGAGAGAGCTGGGGGAGAGGGAGTAGCAGACTCCCCGCCAAGCAGGAAGCCCAATGTGGGGATCGATCCCAGGACCCTGGGATCACGACCCGAGCCAAAGGCAGATGCTTAACCGACTAAGCCACCCAGGCGTCCCTCTTTTCAGATTTTTAATACTATTTTTGCTTGCATTTCTAATAGGATTTATATTACCTTTACAGATCTTTACAATGTTTAACCTTCTTTGTGAGAATATGGTAAGACTTTCTATTTGCTAAAGTTTTTCTAAGATTTCTGTATAGCATTTAAAAGGATTCTTCAACCAAAAAAGAAATCAACCTCCCATATCACATCTACCTGATTTCTGCGCCTGTGCCATTAACATTGCTTCCTCTCTGGTATTTCCCTCCACTTAAGCACTAGATCCCAACCTCTCTCACAACTCAAGGGATGTGGCTTCAGCAATTCTCCCCTCTTGTCTACATCAACTAGATCTCTACTAGATTGGCCATACTGGCATACAGTTATTTTTTTCTTTTTTTCGTTCTTTTTTTTTTTTAAGATTTTATGTATTTATTTGGCAGAGAGAGAGAGAGATCACAAGCAGGGCGAGTGCACTGGGAGAGGGAGAAGCAGGCTCCCCGCTGAGCAAGGGAGCCTGACGTGGGCCTGAAGGCAGGACCACAGGATCATGACCTGAGCCGAAGGCACTGAGCCACCCAGGCTCCCCTACAGTTATTTGTCCTATCTTGAAAATAAAACAACCCTCTTTTGACTCTACTATGCCCTACAGCAACCACCCCATTTCTTGGTTCCCCTTTACAGGTAAGATTCCTCAAACGCACTGTTTATATTCAATGTCTATAAACTTCTCACATTCCCATATGAATCTATACTGGCTTCCACTTCCACCATGTCATCAAAACCCTTTCTGTTAAGATCACCAGTGACCTCCATAATGCTAAATCCAGTGGTCAATTTTCTGTTCTGACCTTTCTTGACTTTCAGCAGCATCTGACACAATTAACTATTCTTCCTGAAATATTTTCTTATGTGGCCTCTAAGACAATCTCTAGGCTTTCTCTTCCCTCACTGGTGGCTCCTTCTCAGTCTCTCCTGCTGGTTCCTCCTCTAAATGTGAATCCCTCAGAGTGTTCCTTGGACATTTTTCTTCTCTTGCTCACTTGGCATCTATTCTCATACGGCTTTAAATATTACCTACAAACTCGAATCCCCAAATTTCTTTCTCTAGCCCAGATCATTACCCAAACTTCAAGCTATGTATGTAACTACCTATTTGACAACAGTACTTGGATATCTAACAGGCATCTCAAACTTTATGTGTCAAAAATACAAACTCTTGATCTGAGGCCCTGATCCCAACCTGTTCCATTCAACTCAGTTGATTGGCAGCTCACTTCTTCTAATCTCTCAGACCAAAAATTTGGAGAAGGATTCAAATTCCAAACATTTAAACACCTGCCATGTACTAGGGAAAACTGATGGAGAACAATCATTATCTAGACATACCCTTGTAAAATTATTAAATTTTAAAGATATTCTAAAGAAAACTCCACATGGCCTGCAGGCAAAAAAGATAAAATTAACTTACAAAACAACATAGTTAGATTGGCATCAGAATTTTCAAAAACAATATATACAAAGAAAAGCAGCAGTGGATTAGCATTTTCAGGAAACTCAAGAAACAAAAAATGCAAATCAGGAACAATACATCCAAACAATCTGTCAAAGAATCAAGGTCTTGGTAAAGGTTTTGAATGTGCAGAACTCAGGAAATATTGTATACATGTGTCCTTCCCAAGTATTCTAGAGGATGCACTTCATCCTACCAACAGATGACAGGGAAACTTCACGAAGGAATGACAGTGAGCATTTCACATATTTGACTATAGAGTTAAGACTCAACAAGGGTGAGGTCCATGAGTTAAAAATATATATATATTTTATTTTCTGACAAAGTAGATAAATGTAATTAAAAACAGTGGAAGAGAGAAAATGGAGAAACAGAATAAGATTACTGACTGCAACAGAAGCAGCAGGGGTCAAAACATCATTTACAACTGACAAAAGGTTAAGTAAGAAGGGGGTTTAAGGGCACCATAAGAATAAAACTAACAAACCCTTGGGCGCCTGGGTGGCTCAGTTGGTTAAGCAACTGCCTTCGGCTCAGGTCATGATCCTGGAGTCCCTGGATCGAGTCCCGCATCAGGCTCCCTGCTCAGCGAGGAGCCTGCTTCTCCCTCTAATCCTCCCCCCTCTCATGTACTCTCTCATTCTCGCTCTCTCAAGTGAATAAATAAATCTTTAAAAAAAAAAAAAAACAACAGGGGCGCCTGGGTGGCTCAGTTGCTTAAGCGACTGCCTTCGGCTCAGGTCATGATCCTGGAGTCCCGGGATCGAGTCCCGCATCGGGCTCCCTGCTCGGCGGGGAGTCAGCTTCTCCCTCTGGCCCTCCCCGCTCTCATGCTCTATCTCATTCTCTCTCTCAAATAAATAAATAAAATCTTTAAAAAAAAAACAAACACAAAAAACTAACAAACCCTTTCCTAAATAAGGAAAAAAACAAAAACAAAAACAGATACCTGAAGAAACACGTAACATACACACATAGATAAACATAAAGTAATTACAATATATGACAGAATTGAGACCAAATATAAATTATATTAAATGTGAATGTGCTTAGGTCGCCTGGTTGAAAGAAAAAGATTTTTTAAATGGCTCATAAAGCAAAACTCAATTCTATGCTCAATTCTACCTTTAAAATACAGCAATCCCCAAAGGCTAAAATGAAGGAATGCACAGGATTATAAGGCAAATGAAAATCACAAGATAGTACGAATTGAAATCCTGATACCAAGGTAGACTTCAAGCCAAAAAGTATTAAATGAGAAAAAGAACATATTACAAGCTACATTAATAGTTATATCTATGCACTAATTAACATAGCAAACCACACGAGATGCAAGAAACAGAAACACACCATATTAGGAAACTTGAAAACACCGCTTAGTATGAGTTCAATGAACAAAAAATAGGAAAGGATATAAAAGATCTAAACAACATAATCAGTAAGTCATATCGTGTCTGTGTGTGTGTGTATAGCAAAGACTATCCATGTTGGAGAATGTATCTTCTCATAAAATGTTCTCAAAAATCAAGTAGTGTTCTCAAAAACTGATCATGTATCAGGGCACAAAGATCAGTAAGTTCTATGAAGTAGAAATATTACAAACAACACTCTAATCACAATGTAATAAAACAAGAAATTAAAAACAAAACAAAGTCTTTCCATCTGGAAAGTAATGAAAATTCTATTTCTGAATAAAGGGTATATGAGCATTCATTCTAATATTTTTATTTTGCAACTTTTTGTAAGTCAGAAATTATTTCCAAGTGACAAGTAAAAAAAAAAAAAAAAACCCAAACCAAAAACCAAAAACCAAAACCCCAACTTATAATTCCTTGTTGGCAAGGATGGGGGACACAGGGTGCTCAACACATTACTAGTAGGAGTATAAACTGGTACAACCACTTTGATAGTTTGTTAGTCTCTACTAAAGTTGAAATATGACCCAGAAATTTCACTTTTAGGTGTATACCAAAAAGAAATGCATGCACACATATTTCAAAAGACATGCACAAGAATGTCTACATGATTTGTAAGAGCAAAAATCTAGTAGCCATCTAAATGCTCATCAACAGTAGACTGGATACGTAAATTGTGGTATACCCATTTAAGGGAATATTATGCAGCAATGAAATCAATGAACTAAAGTTACAGGAACAAGGACATAGCTTTCAAACAGAGGCTGAACAAAAAGAAGACTCAAGAAGAATATATATTATAATTCCACATTTAAAAGTAAAAAAAAAAACAAGCGTAACAAAGCTAGCGTTAGAAGTCAGGAGTGTCACCTCTGGGAGGAAGGAGGAAACAGTGATGAGGAGAGGCATGAGGAAGGCTCTATGGCACTGGCAATTATCTCTTTCTGAATATGTAGAGTGGCCTTCCAGATGTTAACTTTAACATTTAGCAGCACATTTGTTGTACTTTTCTGATGTATGTCAATTAAAAATTAAATAGGAGATTTTTAAAATATGAGGCCTAACGTGTTCAATTTTGTGATTATTTCATGGGCCCTTCTGTTTTCAGAGTAAAAAATCCAATGTACCATATTACATCAATTTGAAGAACCACTGATTGTAAGATGAAGTACCATTTTGTATATTACCAAAAAGAAAAAAAAAAGGCCCCCAAAACCAGCCCCCCAAAAAGAAAGGAAAAAAAAAGAAAAAAGAAAAACCCTCCTAAGTAAACTATGATTCTAAATGATAAAACTTTTAAATATGTTTTGTGCCTTCACTGAGACTATTTCAGAACCATCAGCTTTCTGCAAGGTATCTAAAGAAGAATGGTGTCAATGACTGGGAATATTTCTATTTTTCTTGCCTACTAGTATCATTTCATCTACTATTCAAAGAGTCTGTGAGCTAAGAGAACTTAGAGATCATCTAGATATACTCCATGATTTTACAGATGGAGATAATGGGGCCCAAAGAGGTTGACCTGCCTTAAAAGACAGCAAGAAGCGGGGCGCCTGGGTGGCTCAGGTGGTTAAGCGACTGCCTTCGGCTCAGGTCATGATCCTGGAGTCCCTGGATGGAGTTCCGCATCAGGCTCCCTGCTCGGCAGGTAGTCTGCTTCTCCCTCTGACCCTCCCCCCTCTCATGTGCTCTCTCATTCTCTCTCTGTCAAATAAATAAATAAAATCTTAAAAAAAAAAAAAAAAAAGCAAGAAGCAAAGCAGAAGCCTGATTCTAGATCTGTTCTCAAACCAGTGATTTTTCTCTATTTCTTAAGGCATAATGATCAGTGTTAATGATAGTACCAAATGTTACTTTTTCGAGCAAAGGTTTTGCTTGGTGAAAACTATCCGAAGTATCAATTTATATTTATTTTCTGAAGATGAACAATCTGTAAATTTTATAAACCTACTCCTAAACACATCAGTAAAAATTATTAGAATGTTGCTTTATGTTTTTTTAAGTAGGCTCCATGTCCAGCATGGAGCCCAACACTGGGCTTGAACTCCAGACCCTGAGATCAAGCCCTGAGCTGAGATCAAGAGTCAGACACTTAACCGACTGAGCCACCCAGGTGCCCAGAATGTTGCTTCTTAATACCCTATCAGCAGAACTCCAATAGATGATTAGTACAGTAATTGTGCAAAGGCTCATGGATAAAAAATCATAAACAATGATTTCAATAGCCATTTGAAAGGCCAACAGCTACTAATGGAATAGTGAAGAAAATCATTTTTGGGGAATAAGAGGAAACCATTTTTGACAAATAAGCTCTTGATCTGTGAATGAATTTCTCAGAAAAGGAGCCATCTTCCAGTGCTCAGGAGATCAAACAAAGATGCAGACAACCCATCTTTTCAAGGGAAATGACTGCAAAATAAGGTGATTATAATAGGACACATTCTTGGAGAGAAAGCACTGAGTGTACTGCTAGAATCAAAATATAAGTAGCAATGGGTTTATATCGTAGTTTATAAAATTATTTCATCACACCATTTCATTGATCCTTAAAATAATCTGAGTTTTCAGAGCAAGTGATATCCTCTTTGTACAAAAGAAAAAGCCTGTGCTTGGATATGTTAAATGATCTGTCTAGAGTCATAGTGTTCGTGATCTAGGACTTGAACCCAGTTCTGATTTCACACCATTTTACCTCCAGCTGTTATCTCAACCCTAAGTATATGATGGAACACAATAATATGAATCTACCTGCCAATATCTCTGGAAAACTTACTACCACAAACTGTAGAGGTGATGCAGAATTTGGAGCTTTAACTTTAATATACTATGAATTGTTATTGTTAACTCCAGGACCATTTTCTATAAACCCTACCTTCACATCAAAGGAAGGCTTGAAGAGTTTGTCCTTGGACAGAAATTTTGATGGTGTATCCAGATGTAAGGAGGGCTCCTTCTGAAGTGGCTGTCCCACTGGTGGGGAGACTGAAACCTGTCTGGTGTGTTGTGAGATCACAGCATGGAAAGCTTTACTCTGAAAGCGGTTCATATCTAAAGGTGTAACAGCTGTTTTCCTGTGAGTTTCCAGGTGTGCAACAGGATGCTCCGGAGTATCTGGATTTAGATTCACCCTGTTTGTTATTTCAGCTTCCAAACTTTGTTCTAGAGATTTAAAATGAAAAGAAACAAATGTGAGCCACTAAGGTCATCTTTTATCTCTAAAGAGGCATACACAAAGTGATACTTTTATATCATACTGTTAGTTTTATGTGAATTCTCAAGTACACTTTAAATCACAAAGTTATACACTTACTTTCCAAGAAACAAACCAAATGATGTATTAAAATACATGTTGAGTTAGACAAAGCATATCAACTGAAACAATTAATGAAATCAGACTTCCTATTTCATATTGTAGCTTGAAATATTTTTAATAAACCTCACGATTTGCCAAATATTATATAAGTGTCATCTTAGTCAACAGCAGTTAAAAAAAAACAACCCAATTACATGTACTATGAGTTAACAACTACAGTGAAGTTTTTAAAAAGTTCTTAGTGAAATTTTAACATGACCTAAATGTCACTTTGCCTCAGTTGTAAAATTTCCAGTCTGTTTGGGTAAGCAATAATGGCTCTGAGAGCTGTTCCCAAGCTACTGACTTGTCCCTTAAGTTTGCCTAGGGATGCCATCATCTTAGAAGAGGGGGTACTGTGTCCTCCCACCAGCCTTTTTTGAACATTTAACAAAAACACTTAATAGATGGCTATGCCATGCCAGGTCCAATGCTAGACAATGGAAATACATAACACCCAAAACATGCAAATTCTTTGCCCTTTCAGAGCCTGTAACTGAGTAGGGAGATGTGAAAGCAAACTAGAATTACACCACTGGGATCAAAGGTTTAAAGGGGATAATGCAGGGAGTTTCGGCAAGACAAAGGCTATAATTGATGGGTCAAGGAAGGCTTCCTAGAGTAAGTGATATCCAAACTGAGAACTGAAAGATAAGGACAAAGAGGCAAGCATGAGGTGGGCTAGAGAAAAGACACAGAAGTCCAAAGATGAGAGGAAGAGAGAACACATAATTGACATGGTATGTCCGTGTGAGCCACAGAAGGAACAATAAACAGGATCCTAGCCCACATCTTAAGACTTCAAACACTGAGACCCCAGGATGCTTCTAGATTATTTTGTATCTTCCAGCTTTCAGACAGTGCCTGCAGTAGAGAACAGGTACAAATTAAGTATCTGTGCTTTGAACACGTTTATTTTGCCACCCAACAAGGAATGCTCAACAGTGGTGCACGACACTCAATGTGAAAAGCAGAAATCAGTGAACTTTTCTAAAAACAAGCTTTGACACATTCATATTCCAGAAACCATAAAATTGTAAAAATACATATAAAAGAACAAAATAAAAGTATTAACCTTCTTTAGTTGACTTTTCAATCAGAAAATGGCTTTCATTTGCTCTCTTTCCCATTCTAGCAGTCTCCAACAACCAAGATATGGTGACTGCTGGTAAATTCCACTTCTTGGCAGCTTCATATTTAGATCCACCTGGTTCTTTCAGTACAAGATGCGTACTGGCAAACATGCCTTTCTTTGCATTGGATTTGCGAACAAAGAATTCCTGAACACTGAAAATTATATTTAAATAAAAGCAAATGGTCATATACACAACTAGTGAGCAAGCTAAGAAGGAAATTTCTAATACAGCTGTTGTTAGAGTTCTACATATAATACTCGCTGATAAAAAGTTGATGTTTCGAATCCTCTTACAAATGCTTACTCAAAGATAAAAATGTATTGCTACAGTAAAACTTTTTATAAAAACATAAGCAAATTAAATAGACTTTCAAGAACTAACCAGGAAAATTACCTCCTTAATTAGTCATCACCTACCCACCTTGGCCCTTCTTCCCAAAAGGAGGCATGGAATAGCCAGGGAGCACAGAAAGGGTATGAATAACACACTGTATCTTTCTAGCCCACTATGTCTTCCCAAAGCATTTTCAGACATAATCTCATTTGATACCCTTAATATTTGTGAAATAGCACTATTTTACAAAATATTGTTTTTTGGTTTTTTTTTAAGAGTTTATTTATTTGTCAGAGAGAGAGAGAGCATGTGCACGTCTGTGCGCACAAATGGGGGAGCGGCAGGCAGAGGAGGCAGAAGGAGAAGCAGACTCCCCAATGAACAGAGAGCCCGATGCGGGGCTCAATCCCAGGACCACAAGATCATGACCTGAGCCCAAGGCAGACGCTTAAGTGACTGAGCCACCCAGGTGTCCCTTTTACAATTGTAAAGATACAACCTGGGAAAAGATACAATTAAGTGACTTGTTCAAAATCACAGAATATTTATTAAACACAGAGAACATGGGAACAGAAAAGAGAAGTCCACCATTTGACATATAAACAGAATTTTTTTTTTTAAACAGCTTCTGGGTTTTATGCTCTAGTTCCCACTTTTAAGATTCTTTAAATCTCCCACATTTTTCCTAGCACTTTCATGGTTTCATTTTTCACATTTAACTCACAGATCCATTTGGTACTTATTTTGGTAAGAGATGTGGCTCTAACTTTATTGAATCCTATTTACTGAATAAGCCATCTCTCTTCTTCAGTGCCTTGGAATATCACTTTTTTTTTTTTTAATAAAGATTTTATTTATTTATTTGAGAGAGAGAGAGCATGAGCGGGGGGGAGGGGGAGAGGGAGAGGCAGATTCCCCACTGAGCAGGGAGCCCCATGTGGGGCTTGATCCCAGGACCCTGAGATTATGACCTGAGCTGAAGGGAGATGCTTAACTGACTGATTCACCACCCAAGGCACCCCAGAATATCACTTTTATCATACACTAAATTCCTGTTTGTATTTGGTCTATTTCTAGACTTTCTGCTCGTTCACTGAACTTTCTGCAACTTATTAAAGCCACACTATTATTTAGTGAGGTTTTACAAAGTATATTTAAATAACTATTCTATTTCGGAATTTTCATGACTTTCCTGCTTGCTAACCTTTTCTTATGAATTCAAGAATTTAGTTTGCTTATTGCCCTCCTTAAAAAATTTGGATGGCATTTTAACTGGGATGTTTAATTTATACATTAATGTAGGGGACTGAACAACAGAAACTTCTTTATAATCTTCTTTCCAAGAACATGGATATCTTTTCTATTGTTCCCTTAATAGCATTTTATAAGCTTCTGTAGCTCTTCCAAGTTTCATGTTAAACCTGTTGGTAAGTATTTTATCTCTCATTGCAAACTTAGTTTTCATTAGCTTTTCTAACTGGTTGTATGAAGGTCAATGATTTCTGTATATTAATTGGCCACTTTATTGATATTTATTAACAGCCACTTCACTAAATTTTTCTCCAAGCACTGCTTTAGTTTAACCCCTGGAACTTGGGTGTCATACTTTTGCTATTGTTACTTTCTAGATTTTCTGCAACTTTAGTTTTTTTCAAAAAGCTTTTTATTGTTTAGTATAATTCAAATACAGAAGACAGCGAAAAAGGAAATACAAAATTTAGTGAATTATTATTAAGTGAAAACCCTTGTATCTACTACCTACATCAGATGACAGAATCTTGCCAGCCACTCCAGAACCTCTCCAATGTGTCCCTTGCCCAATTACAACCCCTCCATACCTCCCCTCTTAGTAGTAGCCACTATTTGGATATTTGTGGCAATCACTTCCTTACCTTTCTTTAGTTTTATCACGTAGCGCATTTTTAAAAACTACAGGTTTTGTTTTTTTTTTTGTCTTTTAGCTTATAGGCTCCGTCCTCTTTCCCTTTCCCCTTAATACATATTTGTTGAAGACACTGTATTATTTATAACAAAGTTATCTCAGAGTCTGGATTTTGCTAACTGCATTTCTGTGCTATAGTTTAACATGTTATTCTATTTCTTTTTTTTTTTTTTATTTGGCTGGGTACAGTATACTTTATTGATGGTACATGACAAGGTAGGGCTCCCCAAGCCCCTCCCCTTCTTCAGGGGGTCTGGGATGGAAATGGTGGAGTTCGGGAGATTCTCAGTGTTTTGGGGGATAAGTTGGGGCAGGGACTCCCCAGCAGCTGAGGGCCTCTCTCTTCCTCTTGCTCTCGCTGGGGCTGGTGGTCCAGGGGGCTCTTACTCCTTGGAGGCCATGTAGACCATAAGGTCCACTACCCGGTTGCTGTAGCCAAATTCATTGTCATACCAGGAAATGAGCTTGACAAAGTGGTCGTTGAGAGCAATGCCAGCCCCGGCATCGAAGGTGGAGGAGTGGGTGTCACTGTTAAAGTCGCAGGAGACAACCTGGTCCTCAGTGTACCCCAGGATGCCCTTGAGGGGGCCCTCTGATGCCTGCTTCACCACCTTCTTGATGTCGTTGTATTTGGCAGCTTTCTCCAGGCGACAGGTCAGATCCACGACGGACACGTTGGGGGTGGGGACACGGAAGGCCATACCAGTGAGCTTCCCGTTCAGCTCAGGGATGACCTTGCCCACAGCCTTGGCAGCGCCAGTGGAAGCAGGGATGATGTTCTGGGCAGCCCCTCGGCCGTCGCGCCACAGCTTCCCAGAGGGGACGTCCACGGTCTTCTGGGTGGCAGTGGTGGCATGCATGGTGGTCATGAGTCCCTCCACAATGCTGAAGTTGTCATGGATGACCTTGGCCAGAGGAGCCAAGCAGTTGGTGGTGCAGGAGGCAGTGCTGACAATCTCGAGGGAGTTGTCATACTTCTCATGGTTCACACCCATCATGAACATGGGGGCATTGGCAGAAGGAGCAGAGATGATGACCCTCTTGGCCCTGCCCTTCAAGTGAGCCCCAGCCTTCTCCATGGTGGTGAAGACCCCAGTGGACTCCACAACATACTCAGCACCAGCATCACCCCATTTGATGCTGGCGGGATCTCGCTCCTGGAAGATGGGAGATGGACTTTCCACCGATGACAAGCTTCCTGTTCTCAGCCTTGACTGTGCCGTGGAATTTGCCATGGGTGGAATCATACTGGAACATGTAGACCATGTAATTGAGGTCAATGAAGGGGTCACTGATGGCAACAACATCCACTTTGCCAGAGTTAAAAGCAGCTCTGGTGATCAGGCACCCAATACGGCCAAATCCGTTCACTCCGACCTTCACCATTGTGTCTCAGGGACGTGACTGGCACTGCACCAGAAGATGCGGCTGTCTGTCGAACAGGGAGGAGCAGAGAGCCTATTCTCCTATTTCTTATAAATCAGTAGTTGAATCTAGAAACTTCATCAGACTGAGGTTTTATCATTTTGGTAAGGCCACTTTAAGGTGGTAGTGTGTTCTTCATCAGGAGGCATATAATGTCTGTTTTCCTTTTTATTATGTGATTATTGATTTTCAAGGCCTAGATGTTTTCATTCATCAGGAGTTATAACCCTATCCTTCTTCATTTATTTGTTGGAATACCTCTTAAAGAGAAACTGTCTTATCCATTATTACGGTACTCTGATACAGATTACATAGGAAAGGCAGGATAAATACTTGATCCTTTCACTTTATCTGACAGCTTTCAAATAATGGGCTGGTTTCCCAGCATCTTTCAAACATGACCAATTAGCTTTGTTTGGAAGTCATTATGAAATCATGATTTAAACATTATTTGATGTGTTTGGATCCACTGCTATTATTCCCTTTAGTGATACTTAAATTTTCCTGTCTTTGTCCAGTGGAGGTCCTTTTGACACAACTTCCTTAGCAGTTCTTGCTATCTGGTCTGACAAAATGTTCCATACTCACTGATACCTTTTCTGCCCCAGACCTGGAATTAATTTTTTTTAAAGACTTTATTTATTCGAGAGAGAGAGTGCAGAGAGACAGAGAGAGCAAGTGAGCATGAGCATGAGTGGGGGGGGTGGGTAGAGGGAGAGGGAGAAGCAGGCTCCCCACTGAGCAGGGAGCATGATGTGGCGCTCGATCCCAGGACACTAGGATCAAGACCTGAGCCAAAGGCAGATGCCTAAGGGGCTAAACCACCCAGGCGCCCCCGGAATTAATCATTTCTTTACATTTTAGTTTCTTTTAGCAGGAAATGGTATTTTTGGATCACAATCTGGGCACTGAGATTGCTTATTACCATTGTAAAGAACTGTTGATAATGATTTCTAGGCTTATAAATGGGTTTGAATTCCTCTTGGAACCAAGAGTTATGAAATAGTTCTAAAATGTCCAGTTTATAAGGTCTTTTCATTTTTTTTTTAAAGATATTATTTATTTATTTATTTGACAGAGAGATACAGAGCACAAGTAGGCAGAGTGGCAGGCAGAGGGAAAGGGAGAAGCAGGCTCCCCGCCGAGCAGGGAGCCCGATGTGGGCCTCGATCCCAGGACTCTGGGATCATGACCTGAGCCGAAGGCAGCTGCTCAACCAACTGAGCCACCCAGGCACCCCAGGTCTTTTCATTTTCTATTTATACTATTCATTTCTAGTCTTTTTGCATCATGATTAGAGAGTATGGTCTGTACTCTTTCTACTTCAGGGAATTTACTGAGGTTTTCTTTGTGGCCAATTTCTTTATAGGCAATGTTTCTAAGTGTTCTACAGGCACTTGAAAAGGTATGTTTTCTGTTTCAGGGTAGATGACTATGCTATTGAAATCTAGATCCTTCCCTGTTTTCTATGTGACCTCTTATGAAATAAAAGATGGAAATTAAAGTCTCCTACAAGCAATGTATTTCTGTTGATTCCACCTTGTATCTCCTAATGTTTTCGTCTTATGGATGATAGTCATGTTCTTTTTGGCATATATATATTTTAACTTCAGTGTGAATAGCTATTTACAATGCTCTCCTTTTTCTTACTTAATGCTTTTTCATTTGAATCCAAACTTGTCTGACATTAGAACTGCAACCCCTCCTTTCCTTTGTTTGCATTTCTTTGACATACCTTTGCCCATCTTTTTTTTTCCCAGATATTCTGAATCAATTTGTTTTAGGTGTGTCTCTTTAAAGTCATTTTAAGTGTTGCTTCAAGATCTAATCTAAAAGAACTGTTTTTTAT